ATAAGTCAATTAGTAAATATTTTAAACAATATATTCCCTCCGATTTAAAATGACTCTTTTTTTTTTGGCAACATTTTAGTTTGAACTTTTCACGTGACATGTTTAAGACCACAAGATTAAAGAATATTTTTTGTACATTTCAGGATTAAAAAGTATTCTTTCTTGTTTTAAACTCTGTTTCAAGTCAAACTAGGGTATCCTTTTTAAAACGGAGGGGTAATTACTTTGGTGTCTAACTTACCTATAATACTCTTTTTTGTTACTTTTATTTAATTATTAATAAATACATTTCTTTCATTTATTTTTACTTATCACGATTTAACTTGACACACATGTTAAGAAAAATGATATTTATCATATTTTACAATACTATCTCTATTAAATTATCTGGAGAATTATATTTAATGCTAAGATTAAAACATATTTTTTTTAAAAAAGTTTTTTCTTGATATGTCAAAAATAATAAGTAAAATCGAAAATCTATTTTAGAAAAAAAGTGACAAGTACAAATGAAAGAGACAGTATAAAAATGCTTTATAATATTTCTAAAAATAAATTGATTATGTAATTTTGTTATCCACTATCAATACTTCCTCCATTTCATATTAATTTAATTTTTTGAGACATATTCCATTTTAATTTAATTATTTAGTTTTGAAGATTTCTTTTAGATCCAATTTTACACTTCATTAGTTAGTATTAGAAATACTGATTAATTAATATTTAGTTATTTTAATTATTAATAAGGATAAAAATAAAAAATTATATTCAATTTATATCTTAATCTACTTTTCTTAAAGGACGTGAAACACCCGAAAAATTAAATTAATATAAAATGAAGTAATACTCATTAACAATATTCTAAAAGTAAACTAGACCATATAATTTTACTGTCCCACCTTCAATAAATACTAATAAATCTCATTATTTAATACCCAATTGACTTGAGATATAGAGTGAGAGTAGTGAGAGAAATATTTCTAATTAGATTTCTCTGAAAACTACATCTAACTGAAGAAGAAGAAGCCAACATGCTGAGATTAGCTTCAAGGTTAGTTTTCTCTCATCAATCCTTCAAAAAAAAAAAAAACACACAGAAAAGTTAAATTCATAATAAGTATAATCTTATATATTACAATTTGAATAACATAATTTAATAGCATACGAATCATCTAATTAAACTTTTAGATATCTGCCTATATATCAGCTAGACAAACAATAGAATAATATAGATATTGAAATTTTAGCTATAATATATGGTGTGTATATATATATATATATATAAAATCAATAATTCAGTTCTTTCTCAATCCACCTCTAGTTTGAAATTTGAATACAACTAGTTAGATGTGGGGGAAAAAATATTTCAATTGGTGATAATCAAATTTAATAGGCATTTAATCATAAACAATTTCAAGTATCATGATGTATTCATTTTTGTTTTTATTTTCTCTCATATTCTGCACCTTATCTTTACATCTCATTTTTTTTTTGTTTTCTTGTATTTAATTTTGAACCAATTAACAGGGGCGGCATCAAATCCAGGGGCCTACTTCAAACTTTCAATAAAGACTTCTCCACTCACATTGAGAGGTGTGTTTTCTCTTTCCGCTCCGTTTTATGTAACACAATTTAAATTATAAGTGTTAAATTATTTTATTTATAATGTAAAATTTTGAAATGATCTAGCTAGTCAACATGATTGCTGATCGTTGCATCTTTTCTTATGTTTTGCTCTTTGATAAAAATATGAATTGACTTTATTAGAAAGTGATTTTTTTTATTTTTGACGTACATATTATAGTTTGATTAAATTTAAATTTTATGTCGAAAAATCTTATAATTAAGATTAAAATACTCCCTATTAGAAAGAGAAGTAATAATACATCAAACTTGGCTATTTCAAAGTAAAATTTATATATTTTGAAATAATATAAAGATTGTTACATATATAAATAAAATTTAAAATATAAAGGATTTTAATTATTTTTTCTTTGATGTTTTTAATAATAATCGTAACACATTTTGAGAGTGAAGTATTATTCTTAAATGTCATATGACCGTAAAAAATGACAAGATCTTTTTGTGCTGCTCGAGCACATGTATAACATTTTATTTATTCGCATATAGTACATTGCATGTTAGGTATCATAATTTGAGTGGTAAAAGACAAGGAAAACCATGTATTTTTTTTTATCATATACTTTAGGAATATAAAGTTTATAGCTTTCCATTTTCAATTAAGATGCACATAACTTTTCATAAATAACCTTCTTATTTCAACTATTATCACTTTATATAAATACATTTTTCGATACTTACCCATATCATTACACATGCTTTAATTTTAGGAAATACACTTATATCATTATTAGAATCGAGTAATGTTTGAAATTAGTTTGGCGGACTTGTTAGTAGCTGTGATAATTTGTACATTGCAATCTAAAATTTCAAAATCCGGGATGAAAGCGTTGCGTATTTAGTAGCAATTTTTTTAGTTGGCCTTGGATTCAAGCCTCGAAATAAGAAAAAGTCTTGCTTGAAAGTGTTTTTTTCTTTTTAATCGATCTTCGTATCTCAAAATCAAATTATCCAATATTGATATCAAAATTGAACTAATATCTTTTGGATGGACCAAAATTTTGGGCCTAAATCCTTCCTTGCCGGTCCTGAGTATTCTGAATACAAAAGTTTGAAAATAAGTTTATTTTGTAAAATGCAAGAAAACTTGAAGGCAAGGTGGCGCTGATCACCGGAGCAGCAAGTGGAATCGGAAAAGAAACCGCCGCGAAATTCATCAACAACGGTGCCAAAGTTGTAATAGCAGATGTACAAAATCAGGTCGGCCAAGAAACTGCCTCGGAGCTGGGGCCAAACGCCTCTTTTGTGGTCTGCGATGTCACAAAAGAATCCGACGTCTCCAATGCAGTGGATTTCACCATCTCCAGCCACGGAAAACTCGACATTATGTACAACAATGCAGGTATTCAGAGGCCGAAGTCAACATACAGAGTAACTCATACTATTCTTGTCTCGAATATTCAATTGAATTTTAAAATTTTGTAGGTATACCATGTTGTACTCCACGTTCCATAGCTGATCTTGACCTCGATGCATTTGATAGAGTCATGGCTATCAACGTCCGTGGGGTGATAGCAGGGATTAAACACGCAGCTCGAGTGATGATCCCACGTAAAACCGGTTCCATATTGTGCACAGCTAGTGTCACAGGGGTGATAGGAGGTCTAGCGCAACCTACATATTCGACAACCAAATCCTGTGTGATCGGAATCATGAGATCAGTTACAGCAGAACTAAGTCAGAACGGAATCAGAATCAATTGTGTATCGCCCTTTGCAATTCCAACTCCGTTCTATATGGATGAGATAAAATTGCATTTCCCGAAATTGGAACCTGAAGTTCTTGTTAAAATGTTGCATCGCACTAGTGAATTGAAAGGAGCCTACTGTGAGCCAATTGATGTGGCTAATGCTGCTCTGTTTTTAGCTAGTGATGATGCCAAGTATGTTAGTGGCCATAACTTGATGATTGATGGAGGTTTTACCTCTTATAAGAGTTTAAACTTTCCCATGCCTGATCAAGTATAGTACTCCTACCGTTTTAATTTGAATCATTTTGATTTTACTCAACACCAATATTAAGAATCAAAAGAAGGTTTTTTTAATTTTCTGATTTTAAATTAAAAATATGTGTACGGTGTTAAAATTGTTATATGAGATGTTGGAATTTAACAACTTGGAAAAAATTATTACTCTTTATGCATCAATCGTAATTTTAGCATTGATTTCATTTGAGTTTTCAATTTTAGCTTACCAACCTCCAATTTATTTTTATTATATGATATAAAGAGGTCTTTATAGTCTATTTTAGGAAAGACGCAGATTACCTTTTCCTTTTTTCCATTATTCACACATGAGTATGTATTCTTTGTATATATTAAAGGAAAATGCACGAATACCTCCTCAACCTATGTCCGAAATTTCAAAGATACACTTATACTATATTAAGGTCCTATTACCCCTGAACTTATTTTATAAGTAATTTTCTTTCCATTTTCGACCTATGTGGCACTAGTTTAAAAAAAAAGTCAATCAGCGATGGATCCATAAGATAGTGCCACGTAGGTCGAAAAGGGATAGAAAATTATTAATAAAATAAGTTCAGGGGTAATAGGACCTTAGTATAGTATAAGTGTGTCTACGAGATTTCGAACATGGATTGATGGGGTACTTTTGTATTATCCCTATGTATTAATTATATATGCACGATGTAAAATAGTCTCTCCTCTCTTGCATTTTTTCCCTCTATGACATGCATACTCGTAAATATGAACGATCTCAATGTGATCGATCTTTACTCATATTTAATCTCACATCAATGCATATACATAATATAATATTAATAGAATAGGAGATGATGGTGCAACTCATTTCAATCGAATACCGTACATGTCATATATTCACCTCATTCATCACTGAATTCATTAAAGAAATATGAACGCAAACAACATTCAAGTCAACAACTCGTTTGCTCCATATGCTTTGACATTTTAGGATTATGATAAATCATTTTACAATATTCAACTTTCTCTCTTATAACATCATTACACCGATATTAGAAAAATAACAATCACATACGGGTACAAGACCTCCATTTTCACCCTCATCCACAATCACCTATGCGTTGCTATAATATTTTGGGTTTTTGTAGCAACTATTATCGCCGCTAAAAGCGTATTTATTTTGTAATGAATTCTAGTTGACAATGTAAGAAGGAATAGATCCACCTGATTTGCCACATCAATAAAAATTTGAGATGTTAACTCTTTGAGAACATTTGTAATCTCTTAAAATAACACAAAGTCATTTTTAATCCCAATATATAACTAATAATATAAGTGATCTAATATAGTACCTTAGTTTAGATCCAAAAATCACCCTCAAAATTAAATTCAAACCCACAATAGCAAAAGGGTTGTGAATAATTACATTAGTATTTACTTTATTGCGGATAAGGAAACAGTCCATCTTCACTCTCTTCTCCATTGCATAAATATGGCAGCTGCAACCTGCTGCTTCTCTGCCGGCACCGGCACCGGAAATTCACTCTCCTTTCTAACATCTCACCGCCCCTCAACCTCCCTAAGACCACCTTCTTCATTATTTATTCCGAAAGCTGTACATCAAAAGTCATCATCTCCTCCTCCTCATCCCCCTTCACAGGTAAATTGCATCTCTCGTTTTCTCTATTTCCAGTTAAGCATTGTCTTTATTACTTATTTCATTTCAAGTTCGACTGTTCCCCAATCTCAGGTCTTCTTATTGCGTTTCTGATACTTCACTTTTTAGAAAGAGCACACATCTTGGTTTGTGAATTTGACTTTACTCCTTTTGCTCTTTCCATTGAGTATGCGAGACTGCAATTCGTAGGAATTACTAATATTATAAGTCTCGAGGTTAGTGCAAAAAATGACGGAGGAGGATAAGTTCATGATTTTGGGTTTCATATGAGTGCTTGTGTAGATAATTAGAAAAATTGGAATTCACAATATTTTATCAATAACTTGAATGAAAAAAGATATAGCAGGTAAAATAGATACCCAATTGCTGATGTTTGATGATTAATACAGCTTGAATTGCTCTTATGAGTTCGTGTTTTCTAATACTTGTGGCAATGCGGCTTGTCACATTACTGTGTTCTAATTTAGGGAAAAGGTATTTTTTTATTTGTTCCTGAGTTAAGATTTTATCTAACAAGCAAATGATGGATTCAGAAAGCAGGTGGTAAACAGAACTTCATATGGAGATCAAAAGACGAAAGACATTTAGCAAATAATGATGGAAGAAGCAGTAAAAATGAAACGGGACGATCTAAATCAACTGCATTTAAATTTTCTGGTCTGCAGAGGAAAGGATCAGGAAAGGGCGCTCCATTTGAGTCAAAGGAGCCGCAGGTACGGTGACAGTCGTAATACTTCTTCTGTTTGTGTTGTCTTGGTGTCGTTTTTTTCTTTCTCATTCATGATAGTTGTTAAGAAGAAATAGCAAGGTGACAGGGGAAGGGTGGGGGTTGAGAACCTGAAAAGCCTCTTTATTCTTCTTATGCTTTGGTTCTTCCATAGTTTTGATCACACAGCTTTGTTTTGGATCTGCACATATGAGTCATTAATTTGCCTGGTTGGATGCCATATGCATTTTCTTCTACTTTTTTTGTTTGTGCGCCCTTAACTGTATTTTTCTGTGCTAGAAAACAGCAGCGATATTTTTGAGATCGATTTTTTCTAGTCATAGGGATGTTCTCATGGAAAAGATCAAAGTTCACTTGGACATTGATACATCTACGTTCTTTCAGTTTTGCTTCTGTTCACTTGTTTTTTAATCCTTAACAGTTGTATTATAAAATTATATTATTTTGGTGCTGGTAAGTTCTTTCCACTTTATCATGTCCCAAAAGGAAGTCACACATTGTCTTCAGTTGTTCTATACCACTTTATCTTTGTTGATCTTTTCCAGGTAGAAACTGGTTTCATTGAAGATGCACCTTTTCTCAATGCAGTTGTGAAGGTAAATACGTGGTTAAATGACATTATTTTTGTTGTGCTCATTTCCATTTGAGGCCTCTTCTTTGTAGCTCAATATTTCTTTTCCACTTCACTAATTGTTTTACTGAAATTTATCTGTTTTCCCCCTTTCTACGATTATTATCTGTGGAGAATTGAACCTGTAACTCCTACCAAATATATCCTTTAGCTCCTAGTTTCCTACCCACATTCTATACTCCTTGCTACTGAACCTCTAGCAAGCTGTTGAGCCCAGCTCATCCTCGCTCAGTGATCTCTTCATTGCTGTTTTTAGGAGTTGAGACTGCATTCCTGTTATCTTATGCCCAAGTCATAAATGGTTATGTACACATAGAGAACAACATAATCTGATCTAAATATTGTATGCTAGTCTAAAAAAGAACTGTTGGTGGCTCCTATTTTGTATGTTTCGGTAGCTCTTGCAATCTTTGTAAGTTCAATATTTTGGCATTAAGGTCTAAAAGCCAGCACTAACTTCTCAAATATTTTAAAAAGTTAACTATACTATAGTTTTATGTACTGTGAAATATCAGAGATAACTCCATTGAGTTAATGAACATATTGGAAGCATAGAGGAAATTGATCACAACTCACTTAAAATAATTGTATTTAATCTGTCAATGATTGCCAATTTAATGAAGGGAGTGAAGGACAGGCAGGATGTATTGACATTATTGAAGACATAAAATGTCGATTATGATTCCTTCAGATCTACTGCTCTATCCTTCTTTTCACCTTAAACACTTATAAATGCTTGAGGTTCTCAACATGTGTTTCTTCACCTTGCTTGCATCGAGGTTTTGTTTGCTTTGGTCTAAAATATAAATACTTTTCTATGATTTCTTCGATTAGATATGAAGCTATTTCTTAAGAATTTGATGTCCATATCGTTATATTTGCATTAGATATGTTTAGGCTCTATCATTTATTATTGTTTAGGCCATGTTTTATTCTATTGAATAGCTTCCTAACATGATTTCTGTGAAATGATATTGAAGAAAAAATGTTTGGGGCTTAAAAGAGAGAATTAAAAGGACATGAACAAGGAGTTACGGATAGATCATGTGAGGGGGGTGGGCTGGTCAATTTTATTAAAAACAGAAACTCATAGTAGAGTGGGTCAGGGCTGCTATAGGATGGGACCTCACTCAACCTGCCTAATCCATCCCAAAAAATAAGGGCCTGAACATTCTGTTTAGCCCTATGGGGACTGGGTTTGGACAAAAATTAGATACTGCCAAAAAATATGATTTTGGTCTTGAACAAAACCAATAACCTTCAGCTAGTGCATGACTGGCCCTTCTGGCCATTATTTTGATATAAGCCATATGATTGATTTATTCATTTAAAAGTAATTTGCATTTTGATATTTTATTTAGATTGAGAATAGATTGTGAAGTCTTGGGCGGTACATAGGTTTCTGAGACATTAAAGATATATGGTCTTGTGCTTCCCTAGAACAGATCTTTTTACAACTAAATGGTTTAGTTCTTCCAATTGGAAGATTATGTAAATGTATCATGTGAAACTAACTACTGACTTCCATATACTTCTGCTGTTGTGTTGCGTAGAGTTCCTAGACCTCCATAAACAATTAATGTCAATTTTTTTAAGCATCAGAAGGTATATCAACAATATGAATAGTTATTTTTTGATGAGAAGGGAAACCCGCAGCCTCTACCTTTTGGGTGCGCATAGGGTAAACCCCCCGCTCCTAAGCAATAGCTCGTAAACCACATATGAATAGTTATATCACATATATCGGCACGTGCAGTTGGATTTTGATAATTTTACAAAGCAATGGACTCACTTTTTCCTTCTCCATCATGTTTATCTCTAGGTTTTCTGTACACACACTGCTCCAGATTATTCCCTCCCGTGGCAGAAACAAAGGCAATTTGCAAGTACTGGAAGGCATGCAATTCCAGCTTCTCTCAACTTTAGTACTTCCTTTAAAAGTTGTGAGAAAAAAGTAAAATTTCTTGTAAAGAGTAGTTTTCGATTGGGCCTAAATGCTTCGATTCCCATTATATTGCCAACTTATACATAGAAGACAGAATTTTCTGTGGGATTGGTGCATACAAACATTGTGCCTATTGAAAAATCTACATATAAAGATTAACTCATTGACTTATAATAACAAATTATCTCAAGAAAATTTCACTCCCCATCCCATTTATATGGTAGGTGTTTGATTATACGAAGAGTTTAAGATATTAGTTTGATTTAATTGTTATGTTAGTGGTAGTAGAAGAAAATATAGGCTGACTGGTTGAAAGTTAGTTTCATATGGAAAAAACCGCATCAAAATTGTAACATATATAATCAAATGATTTTAAGTTCCTGAAAGTTGTTTTACTAGTATAAAATAGTATTGTAAGTGTAATAGTGTCAAACATTTTAGGATGTCCCAAGATGGAAATGGTGCCATCTAAAAATTTGGGTGGAGGGAGTATTGACTATTGCAGCATCAACTAAAGTTTTTCTTAGCATATTGCATATATTATAATAGGATGACCGTTGAAACGAATTTCAGTTGAAATAATTTACATAATCGTTACCTTCTCAAAAAAAATAAAATCTTTTACATATGCCTGTAGAAAAAGTATATTTTGGTTATGCTATATCTTATTTGTAGTTATAAGGGGTTGAAAATATTTCTGTATAGACGAGGTTTTTGGTGTCACTTATTCAAATAAAGTTAATTTTTGTACTTATGAGGAGAGCATTCATGTGCAATTCCTGCTATTTGTAAAAAATTGGAACAGTTCCGAGATATCAATTAGTTTAAAAGATTGGGTGCTCTTTGTAAGTAATATTTTGTAAAGAAAAATGTTATTGAATGATGATCTCTGCTTTTTGAATGCAGTTTGTATGTTGAAATTATCTCCATCATATTAATAAAATGTATTGGATGTATATTAATTAGAGTTATGTTGATACATCTGACAATGCATGTGTTCTCCTGTGGTAAATAAGAATCTCAAGTACGTTTCTTCAAGAAATTATTAACTATTGGCTATTAGAAATATTAACCATGGGTCTTGAGATTTAGTTGGTTCCTGTTAATTACTTCTGAAGAATTGCTGGTTTGTACAATTATTCACTGTTATGTGTGTATCTGTTACATATTTTTGAAGAGGGAGTGGGACTGTACACAATTCTGACTGTTGTTTTCTTTGTACAGTGCTTTCATGATTGGTGACGGGAAACTCCTGACGAATGCTCATTGTGTTGAACATGGTACCCAGGTAAAGTCTCACCTTTGCTATGTAGACAATATTCCCATTAACTGGCTTCTATGTGCCTGTTTCTGTCTCCTCCTTTCTTCGTTAAATGGAAGAAAAGCTGAAGTTTTCTCAATCTGCTTTTATTAGAACAACAATTTTTTTATCATAATGGAAACTTATTCTCTAGAAAACTTTTTTCTTCATTATATAATACAACGCCCTTAAACTAAAGCAAATGGTGTCATGAGAATTGATTATTAGGACCGCTAAATCATAATATTTTTGCTTTCTGATTACCAAGAAATCCTAAAGGGCTAATGGCACAAGGTTTGGAATTCAGTGGATAACAGGCCAATCCTCTATCCTTCTCCAATTATATATATGCTAGACTTTCTTTTGTGGTAGGGTCATCATATGTGCTTTCCCCACTAGAACGGGGAACTTTTTTGGTCATTGTCAAATACCAGGCTTCCGTTATTCTGTTTTGTTATGTGAACCGTTCTTTTTCTAGGTCGAGAGCATGTCTATGTTATCCAGAACCATGGTCTTCTGATCTAGGCTTACTTTTAGATTGGTACTGGATTTTGGGGGAAAATGTTTGGCATTCACTTTTATTCTTCTTTTTGTAAAAAGTGAATCTATGAAGTATAACTTACTTTTTTTGGTTATATTTCTACAAATAAGTTGTTATAGAAGAGAAAAAGATTGGAAGATGTGGAAGAGAAGAAGTAATTTGCAATCTGTCTTATTTACTCTTTCGGCTTTGCATGGTGCCTTCCACAAAATATGAGATTGCACTTCTTTTCTAGGTTTTTGAACTTTATTGTAGTTTTTCATCCTAGGCAACGTTTTTTTTTTGGTCAAAAGCTGCTGTAAAGGATATCTAAATGCATGGAAACAGTATGTGGCAAAAATGAAAATTTAGGTGCACTTTTTCTCTCTAATTACATGATAGGGGTGTTGGGACTACTCATGCAAAAGGAACTAGACATAAAAGAAAGTTGAGGCATTTAACTAAGTCTAGAGAAATGTAAGATGGCTTTAAAGAAACTTAAACAGGTCACATTTGGGTTATCTAAACCAGAAAAATATATCCCACCTAATCCACATCACCACGTGAAAATCCGTCGTTTTGGATAATTTGGACAAATCGTCATCCATTTTCAAGCCCTACTTTTATTATTCAGTGTTCTCTAAATGACATCCAACTTGCTAGTCTTAAGTGGAGGAGACCTCTTGCAAGTTTTGAAAATTTTTTCTTGCCCGCACTTTATCAATTTTTTTAGTATATGTAAATTTAAAAATGCACTTTTAGCTGAAGTATCTTTTTGGTGGCAGGTTAAAGTGAAGAGAAGGGGAGATGACACTAAATATGTTGCCAAGGTAAGCTTTTCATGTTAACTTGTGAATGCCTATATTACCTGGTAATCTTCTTCTTTTTTAATTGGTAGAAGTATGAAAGATGCAAACTTGGTGTGGTAGAGAAAAAAAAAATACTCAGCTCAACCGTTTGCTGATCTAGAACCTAGACATTCTGTTTGGGGTCTGGTAAGAGGAAATGTGACCCAACCCAATTAACTCAATTAGGGTGTTCGTGGTTCGGTTTGGATCGGATATTGATTAAATCAAAACCAAACCAATTTAGTCAGTTTTTTAAATTTCTAAAACCAAACCAAACCAACCGAAAAAAATAACCATTGGTTTTGGTTATTGTCGGTTTGTTTCAGTTTTTCTGGTTTATTCGGTTTGAAAGTAACAATTTTTTTGAGGATGTACGTATCTCGATAGACACAAATACCAAGTACATGAACAATTTACAGAAAAACTAATGTCGGTTCAGGCAAGCAATTAAGCAATATTCGTGTTATCATTACAAGAACAAAGTGATTTATTTAAGATAAAGTGTGACTATTTTATGTGAAGTACAGTTAGTAAAGACTAAAATGGATTTTGATGGACTTAGATTTGAGATTGTTATACCTTGGCTAAAGTGTTAGGCTTGAAAAAAATGGTAAAGTTAAAGCCTTAAGTTAATTAAAATTTAACAAAATATTTTTAATTTATCTATGAATAATATATAAATAATTATAAAATTTATGTATCTAATTTATCGGTTCGGTTTGGTTATTTTTGCGGTTGTTTTTAGTAAAACCAAAACCAAACCAAATATTATCGGTTTTCAAAATTTAAAAATCAAACCTAACCAAACTAAACCAGATATCGGTTTTTTTTAATCGGTTTGGTTCGGATTGCAGTTTGGTTTGGTTGTTAACCATAACCATGAACAACCCTAAACCCGATTACCATAGGGCTCATTGGGTTAGTTTAGTTAATTGATAATGAACATTTCCCGTCTGTTGGAACATCAATTTGGAGCTCCCAGCTAATTTCTTCAAAATTGCATTTGGCATTATTATTTCATTTATAAGATGGAATTTTATGTTTATGGAAAGTAAGATGTTGCTAAAGAATAAAAACTTTCTATTTTCTCTTAAATTTGTGGAGCTTCAATTAAGCTCTTTGATCAAAAGAATCAATTTTTATCAATGCCTAGATGAAGTGGTGCAGTTCCAGATTTTGTATAGTTACAATGTGAGAAAATAAAGCATAGAATTTTTATCTCTAATTAACCATACTGGATGTAAAAATAGGTACCAAACGGGCTTTCTTTACTTTTTTCAATGTGGTTTAGTCACAAGCTAAAATTAGTTGTTTATTATTTGAGTGTAAACACGATGGTGTGGTGAAGTTGTCTGCGTTAAGACTGTGCCTCAGCTTTAGGTGCTAACTACTGCTTAGAAGTTTATGTTTCAACTAGGTCTTGTGCTATTATTTTTAAAAAAAGAACTACAGGCTTCTCGTTATCAGTGTGCCCATTCCTTATCCTCTGCATATTCAAAAATCCTCCTCCTCTGGGAGCTCCTGAATGTTTTTTCTATTTCGAACAATTGTAGATTAATTAAATAGGTCCCTCCTAGTTATCAAAAATAAAATAAATTCAATAGGTTATTTCTTTTGTAAGTATAACAATAAATTGAATTTGCAGTCTTGACAATCAGTATGTACTTTAAGACGATGCATTTACTGATGTATGCTAATTATTAGATTATATGGAACAAAAAGTTGGTATGAATATTCCATAACAAGACTCTTTAATGATGTTGAGAATTGTAAAGATATGGCACACCTGGACCAACTCAACCCCCAAAACTAGCTTATGAAGAAGGATTGCCCAAGTTCATATGAGTAAACCACCAGTCCATTCCCAATCAGTGTGGGACTTTGACCCATTCTAACACTCCCTTCATGCCCAGGCCCAACTGGAGCTTGGACCGAGAGCCTAGTCGAGAATGAACCTAACTCTGGTACCATATAAAAATATGACATCTGATCCTGACTCAACCCCAAAAGCTAGCTCATGAGGGGAAGATTTCCCAAGTCCATGTAAGTAGACCACTGCCCAAGTCCATATAAGTAGACCACCAGTCCATTTCCCAATCAATGTGGCACTTTGACCCTCTCTAACAAGAATCTCTAGGTGAGTCTAGGCAGATAATTGGAAAATTAGTTTCTATAGATGAAAAGTTGGATCTAACTTTATATAATGTAATCAGTTTTTGGTTCCAGGAGTAATCTTTAACAAGATTTCTTTTATGTTGTTGAAAACCGGAAGCTAAGTGAGAGATGACCACATTAGCCAGATCCATCAAGAAGATTAATGTTTTTAGATGGAAGTCGTGTCAGAAGTGCTAAAATGTCGTTGAGTTTTAGTGCTTGATTTCAACATCTATTGATGCAGGTTCTAGCTAGAGGAGTGGAGTGTGACATAGCCTTGCTATCTGTGGAAAGCAAGGACTTCTGGAAAGGAGCTGAACCCCTCTGCTTTGGACACTTGCCTCATCTGCAGGTTCGTCTCACATTCATCTGTACAGATCAGTTCTGGTGCCAAGCATGTATTTTTCAAGATATTCTTTGTCGTTTATGTTAATTTGTTAGATGCAACGTTTACCAATCAAACTTAATTTTGGAGAAATATATAATGGATTTGCCAATGTCCTATAATCAGTTTGAGATTTTTCCTAATATGAATGATTCTGTGTCTTATTATGCCAGCAGTTTTATATTATGTTAGGCTTCAATTGAAGATTTAGTAGTTGACACTTAGTTTTTCCTTGAATATAATTATTGGTAACAAGTAAGAATAGTAAATCTACATGAGAGAACTTGCTAAATTTTTAGGAATAGTTTCTGGCTCATAATGAGTGTAAAAACCACTTAGTGCCATAGTTGTGCGTGTGTATAAATGCCACTTAGTGCCATAGTTGTGTGTGTGTATAAATGTTATTTAAGTTTGCTGAACTACTATCTTCTTCTTAAATTGCTGTATTTAATTGAATCTTAGTTGAATTCTTGACTTCTTTTTTAGTACCCAAACTTAAATCTGTCCTGTTCTGTTGCAATCTATAGAGGTGTCATTCTTAAGCTGGAAGTTACTTCTGACTTGCAGGATGCTGTAACTGTTGTAGGTTATCCACTTGGAGGAGATACCATTTCTGTGACAAAAGGGGTGGTATCAAGAGTAGAGGTTTGTGTTTGTATTGTTTGGTTTTCAGTTTAGTGTTGCATAAATTTATCTGTAAAACAAGGCAGTGACTGAACCTTTTTATCTTCATTGAAAGTTTGTATTGCTCTACTCACTAGTGCTGGTCAGTTGTCATTTCTGGGTACACCATCTCGAAAGCATGTTATGATTGCTATTTCTCTTACCTCATCAATTTTGAAGAGTAATGGTCAGCTAGAGTTTGAAGAACTGTGAAATCTTTACTCTGGACTCTGGAGCCTCCATAGATAGTACACGGTTTTCACAAAATTTATTGTATGGTATAGAAGCAATAAAGTGACCTATGCTCAGCATTTGTTTGATGATGAGCCTTTTGTGAATACACAGTTACCTTTATCTCAAAAAATAAATAAAATAGAAGCAATAAAGAGATACCACATAAATTGTTCCATCTCCTTCCAAAACTTGAACATATACTTAAAGCAGTTCGTTGACCATAGATGAGGTTCCTCAGCAGTAACTAAAATGAGCAAAATCTTTTTATTTCATTACATAGTCAACGGGCAAAATGAGATTTCATCAATGGCCTTCTGCAATTTAGCTTGTTGATGGAAGCTAGGCACGCAGGCAAATTCATTCTTCTTTGTGATAAGTACTTTTTGTTCCATTTTATTTTTCTTTTATGTTTTATTGTTTTGTTTCTTATATTGCCCACTTTCTTATAAGTGCTAGCAGCTTCCTTGGAGTTGGTTCTGAGTTGATATGTATATATATAGAGGAAATTGTTTGAAAATAAGACAATCTTCCCTTTGACTGTTCTCGTAATTGTTGAATGCTTAACTCATATATTGGTGTTCATCATTAGGTCACATCATATGCTCATGGATCATCTGAGCTTCTGGGCATTCAAATAGATGCAGCAATAAATCCTGGTAAGAATGGACATTGATGATATGGCTAGTCCTATTAAGCACTAATCATCCCCCATTAATTTGCTCCTATTAATATAACTTGTTTATACCTTGTAAAAAAAATTAAGGAAAAAGAAATTCTTACTTGTTTAATAACTTCTTGCATGTGCTGTACGCGGATTACGGGGCTCTGCTTTCTTGCTTTACTGTAGTTTCTGCTACTAATAGCAACTGTTTTAGGTAATAGTGGGGGCCCTGCATTCAATGATGATGGAGAGTGCATAGGAGTGGCATTTCAGGTAGTTTCTTATCAGAATTTGATAATGCTCTTGTCATGTTAATAAAATTCTGGCTTCTTTTTGGATTTTACCATTTGGTCTGTAAAATATAATGTATTTATCAAAATTCGAGTGCATCTTTTGCTTTTCAAGTTTCAAATTGTTTATGTCTACTTAATTGCCTTAGTTCGTCATTCTACGCTACTGTTATAATCATTGGTTGTGAAAGGCAATTTTTTAAGCTAGCTCGAAATCTTGCGCTCATCATTAATACTCTTTTTTTTACTTCTTTGAATATTTTCGTGATACATGTTCGACTTTAGAAGTTCAAATTTTTCTTTTGCATTCCCTGTTGAAAAAGATTTTTATCATCGTGCTGCTTCTTCACAAACTGCTGTGTCTTCTCTGGATTCTATATTTTATATCAGGTTCTTTTGCAAGTTTGTGCTTTCTTTAGGGTATATGTTTTCACACGACGAGTCCTTTAGGTTTACAGGTCAGATGACGTTGAGAATATTGGTTATGTTATCCCAGCCATGGTAGTGTCTCATTTTCTGGAAGACTACGAAAGGAACGGGAAGTACAGTGGTGAGTCTCTCTCCTTTTTTTGGAAAAATGTCTTCTATGTTGGAAAATTATCTAAATGTCTAGGATTCTGCAAACATTTTTCCAATTGCTTTTTCAATTTGGTATACAAGAATTTTGATTTTCCAAAATGACACCTATTAACCACTGGGTGAGTAACAGGGAAAGAACTTTCAAGTCAAACCGCTTGGGTTTGAATCATGTGGTTAGTCTTTTACATGCGCCAACCTAAATATCTGAAATTCTATTGAAGTTTGGAAAGAAAACTGACCTATTCAGAACCTGCAAATGAAGACTTCAATTAAGGTTTTTAACTTACTTTTTGTTAAGAGTGTCCGACATTGAGGAAATGGGTTATTGTATCCTTAAGGTTTTGAGCAATCGTTGCCTATGAGTTAGCCTTTTGGGTTGAATTAGGCCCAAAGTCTATTTTCTTTACATTGTATCAAAGCCAGACCTACCCATATTCTTGGTTTACTCAATTGTTGGGCGTGTTAAATTGTTTACGCTCCTAATGTATAGCTGTAGGCATGGGGGAGGGGTATTAAAGTGTCCTACATTGAGAGAATGTGATGTTGTCAGCCTTTCAGAGGGTAGGTTGCAAATGAGGGACCTAAGCATTTCATTTCTGAGCCATGGACGTTTATCTTGATGCTTCTTGGTTCTGCAATATAAGCAAGGGTGGCTTTATGAGGGATTTTTGCTAAAGAATTTCAAAAGTCGGTTTTCCATGTGCCCCTTTCTATACAACACTATCACAATTAGTCCAAGAAAAGTGTTTTCATCTTTACTAAGATGTTTTATTTCTTAAATATTTATAATAAAAATGATTTTGATTCATAATTCCTTTTTAAGTATTTCAGTTCTGACCATGGATGGACGTTTATCTAGACTAGAAGCAAGCTCTGATGCTTCTTGGTTCTACAAGATAAGCAAGGGTGGGTTTATGAGGGTTCTTTTGCTAATAGATTTGAAAAGTCGGTACTCCATGTGCCCATTCTATACAACACTATCACATTTAGAGCAAGCAAAGAGTTTTATCTTTTACTAAGACGTTTTATTTTCTTAGATATTTATAATCATAAATGATTTTGATTCATAATTCCTTTCTATGTAGTTTCTTAGTATTTAACTTTTCATCTTTAAAGATAGAAGAGTTGTGTCTGAATGCACACCGATAATAAATGATTTGACCCTCTTTCTCCAAATGCCTTCGTTATTTTCGATAAGATAAAGGGCCTCAACTGAGATTCAATTTCTGAGAGAGAAGGGGTGGGAGGGCAGGAGGCGAGCTGGGCCATTATTTTTCCTCAATGCCTTATTACAAAAGATGACTTCGTTTATTATGATTTATGTTTGCTGCTCTTAAATCTTAATTATTAAGCACAAAAGTAAATCTTTCTACTATGTAGTGGTTTGTGACCCTTCAAAACAATATAGAAACTAGTGCTAATTTATTCTTGCTTGTTCTTATGGTTCCTGCCAACTGCATGGCTGTAATAATTATGTAAAACATAGGCTGAAGTTTTAACCTGTAACTTTCAAACTTTTATTTGGTAAATTGTTTTACTAGTTATTAATTTGTTGATTTTTTTTTATAGTTGACTGCAAACCATCTATTCATTTTCTTAAAAAAATTAAAAAACCATACACAATTCATTTATGTGGTGCCTATTTTTGTTCTTCATTATTTTGGAGTATATTCATTTATAAACGACATTATTGCATAGTGAATTTTGCATTTAGTTGTTTTTGGAAGTCTAAAGATTATCTGCCAGCCAAATATCTAGTTAACGAAAAAAAAAAAATAGAAGAAATAATCATCACTTGAGCCAATTTTACAGAATTGCCATAACAACCCCCTCGCCCTCGCGAAGCTTCTTTTGTTTCTTCTTTCTTTTGCTTAAGCTGCGGCACAGTACAATTGTTTATCTAATTTGTTAGTCTCTTCCTTATGCTTTAAAGAACTACCAGTGCATCATATGATTTGGAAGCTTATTTGCTTGTAGGTTTTCAATAGCTTATCTAACAGTATTGTGATTTCAGGTTTTCCTTGCCTTGGGGTATTGTTGCAAAAATTGGAGAATCCAGCACTACGTGCCTGCTTGAGAGTTCCTTCGAATGAGGTCTGGATTTGTACCTAGATATATAAAGAAGTCCACATTAGTTGCATAAGCTTTTTATAACATATGTCTTTCTTTCTGGAGTTCCTTATCCTTTTCTCGGTAATTTTCTTTTGTGGAGGTAGGGGAAGAGAGGGAGGGTGGGAGGGACATATTTTTGAAGCAAACAAGACCATTTTTCTTCTATATTTAGCTGTTCGTTTGATCTTGTTTCCGAGTAGAACTCTATAATTCCTCAATCAACTTTGTTAATACTAGAGTGGAAATGGTTTCTGCAGCAACATGAATTGTGTGAGAGTGGAGGAAGGATCCAATGGTTAAGTTCCTACAAAGAGATAGGAAGGGGGTTGTCGTGGCTAGAATTCAGTAAATCTTTGCTTAAGGCCTTATATATGATAGAAAAAAGTGTATAATTGAATAAAACATTCATCTTCAGTTACACAGCCAGTAGCAAAGTAATTTAAAGAAAATAGAATAAGTGTCATTAGGCTGTTAATTTGGGAAAATTTATTTCATGGTAGGGATTGAGCTGAGCAAATATAGCTCTTCTTGATGATGAATCCTCTGGGCTCCAGCCAACATCTTTCTACACATAACTGAGCTTTCTTGAATGGAAAGATTGGAAATATCCTGTTTGAGTAACGTCAATAATATCCTCTTCTGCGACGTCTCCAGATCTCTTGAAGGATCGTTGTGTCTACTCCTTCAAATTGGTCAATCATGACAGTAGTTGATTTAATAACCTGTCAACTGAATCCATATCAGATTTTCTAATTTACGCCTCATCTGAAAGAAAACCTAGTTTGCATTGTCAACTGAAGATACCTTGGCTGATCATGTGTTTGAGAGTGTCAAATATAAATTATGTTGATAAATTTGTGTGGAGAGGGTTAATCACTAATCTCTAGACGCCCTTGTTTAATACATGCTGTGTAATTGGTTTTGCAGGGCGTACTCGTACGGAAAATCGAGCCTACTTCTGATGTTAGCAATGTCGTGAAAGAGGTACCGTCCATATATTACTGTTCACGAGTCTTTTCTAACTTTCTAAATATTTTGCTTTATGTGTGATTCTGCTCTTAAAGACATTTCAGTGTACTATTTCATTCTGTTATTACTTATTAATGTCCTCAGAACTTATAACCATTAATGGATGGAAGGACCACGAGTAGAAATGATGTTTGAATGAAAAGGGAGAGATTGATGTGTACCTTAGAAACGTAACATTGAGTTGTTTTTCATGAGAAGCTTGTTGAAAGTCATTGCTTAAAATAGAAGTCTATCATTTTTGGCATAAAACTGTAGTATGATAGTTTCTAGGTTGTTTTACTGCTTTTCATTCATGTCTGTCAATTAAATTAATGTATTACTCCCTCCGTCCCATTTTATGTGTGGTAGTTTGACTCAGCATTGACTTTAAGAAAGAAAATTTGACTTTTAAAACTTGTGGTCCAAAATACAAAATGAATGATAGAAATTTGTGTGGCTGAAAATCATTTCATTAAGGGTAAAATAGACATATTGATGGAATTTTACTTTTGGTGTTTATGGACAAAGAGGAACAAAAAATGTTTTGATGAAATTTCAACTTCTAGAGATCTTTTGCGAGGCAGATGTCTAGTTAGCCTTTTTAGTTGGTCCAAACTTACCCCTGGAAATAATTTAAAACTCTTTTGGATTTTGTTAGCTCTATAGCTAAGAAAGAGGCTACAAACCTTTCTTTTTTGTAAGCTTAACTGATCTATCCTTGTAAAGCTTGCATTTTCTTGATGCATTGAAATGAATCTACTTACTTAATCAAAAAAAATAAAAAATTAAAGGTAAAATAGACATTTTATAGTTAAACTGTTACTTAATATATAAATGTGTCATTCTATTCTTTTTGGGACTGACTAACAAAGAAAGTAAATCACATAAATTAGGACAGAGGGAGTAACCCTTAAGTGCTTGTACTGATTTTCTTACCGTAATTGGATTTTCTGTTTTCTTGGAGGAAGGATAAAACATTTACCATAATTGGTTTTTATATTGCCTAAAAGAAAATATTATTTTTTCATATTTGGCTAATCCTTTTCTTGAAGAAAAAGGTTTAGCACTAAGTAAATTAATGATCCTTCCTTCTCCCTTTACAACATCCACAGTATAGTCCTTACGAAAGTTATGGATTAGGGCTCCAGTCGTACCATTTGTATTATGTCATTCAACATTGATAAACATGCGCTTGGATGTAATTTCTGCTATTCATAAGTAAGCTCTCATTTAAAAGTGAAGATGGATTTCACGAGAATGTTGCATATAAATATCCTTTTGGAGTTTGGGGAGCATGGTGCACTATAGGTGTGTTTCTACAACTCATAAGTGATCTCCTCATGGGAAAGCGAAGATCACGCTATGAGAACGCGAGATTAGACAGGAGTATCCTTTCTGAGTTGTGGGATCATGTTACAAATGGATATAGGTATTGTCCCAGGACCAGCTTAATAACTTGTAGATGAAGAGTATAGTGTATATTTGACCATTTTAGTTAGTACTTAGTCCTACCTACTTCACATCTGTGTGTACCTGTCTCTTTGGAAGGTTTCGTTTTTCTATTATCATTAGGACGGTATTTTGGTATTGTCACATAGTTTAACAATACCTTGTTCATCTTTTCAGGGCGACGTGATTGTTAGCTTTGATGGTGTTCGTGTCGGGTGTGAAGGGACAGTGCCATTTCGATCAAGTGAACGCATTGCGTTTCGCTATCTCATCAGTCAAAAGTAAAACTTAATTACTTCTTAGATTTGTATTTAAGCACAATTCTATGTTGACAAAAATTATTCACTTCATTTCAGTTTGAATGGCTAACTTTGGAACTGCTTGTTAAGTGGTAATACCAATTTGTAAGACACTGCCTTGATGTTGCTCTGCTTTTTGCATCATTTGATTTTTCCTTGGCTAGTGGGATCATTGTCATTGTCTATACAATCAGGGTTAAATTGGAACATCCTTGCTCTTATTCTATTTCTCGGTGACCTTGAACTGTATATTGGTCAATGCACATAATCCACTGAATCCTTAGCATAATTTGAGTTTCCTCATGCTCCTTGCACATACCTCTTTGTAAAGTTTGCTCCTATACCTGTTTGTATGTTAACAAGGGCCTTGTCCTCTTCAGGTTCACTGGTGATGTAGCTGAACTTGGTATTATTAGAGCTGGGGAATTCCTGAAAGTTCAAGCAGTTTTGAAGCCACGTGTGCATTTGGTATGTCACTGGACACTTAGTTTCTTTATTGGCGTCATCATGTAAATCACTGTATGATTGATTTAAATCTGTTGCAATCATCTATAGGTTCCTTATCACATAGAAGGCGGTCAACCTTCATACCTAATAGTTGCTGGCTTGGTGTTTACACCTCTATCCGAACCCTTAATAGAGTAAGTTTTACTAGATATCCTTACATTTTCTTAATGATGGGGAAAGCATTCCGATATCACTCAAATATATTCTGGTCTACCAATTCTCATCCCTTAAAGCAATTGTTTGTTCTTTGTTTTGTCAGGGAAGAATGTGAAGATACCATAGGGGTGAGTGTAACAAATGGGTGCTGCTCACAAGATTAACAAGCATTCCCCTTTTGATTTAATTTAACTGGTTTCTTTGAATTCTTCAGCTAAAACTATTGATAAAGGCTCGATACTCTTTTGCAAAGTTTGAAGGGGAACAGATTGTCATACTATCACAGGTATATTCAGATAAAATTTCAGCTTTTGACAATCAATCTGCAGCTACTCTGTCAAGTAAAGAAAAACAGAAGGGAATCTGCCACCTACTATTTTGCATATATGACTTGAAACTTTGGTCACACCCAGCCCTGAGCCAGAGCTGGGAGCACAGGTGCTAGGGAAAATAAAACTTAGGTAAAAATATGATGTCATGGCAGTGAAAAAATGGGTAAATAGGCTTAAGCGTAGTTCACTAGCTTTCCCAATGCCACCTCCTTTATGATGCTGACAGGTTAAATCTAAGTAAGAAATGATATGTTGTTGATCGTTATTTTACTTGCAGGTCTTGGCAAATGAAGTGAATATTGGGTATGAGGATTTAAGCAATGAGCAGGCAAGTTAACTTTTCCACTTCGATTTTATAATCCTAATCCAGTTCCATCAAGAAGAATAATTGGCGTGAACATCAAAATTTCATTTTCATATATCTTGAATGAAATCTCAAAAACAATTTCTTGGCAGGTCTTAAAGTTGAATGGGACTCGAATTAAGAACATTCACCATTTGGCTCATCTAGTGGATTGTAAGTGTTGGAATAGATAAATCATTTGAGCTTTGTTTCTCTAACTCAGTCATTAAAATGCTCATATTTTGTATATTCACGCAGCTTGCAAGGATAAATATCTAGTGTTTGAATTTGAAGACAACTTTCTGGTTGCTCTAGAAAGGGAGGCAGCCTCGTCTGCGTCATCTAGTATTCTTATAGACTATGGTATTCCGGCTGAAAGATCATCGGATCTCTTGGAGCCATATGTTGATTCTATTGGACCATATGAAGCAACTGATCAACATGAGTTTGGTGATAGTCCAGTTTCTAATTCAGAATTTGGATATGATGGGCTTCTTTGGGCTTGATCATGACATGTGAAGTTCAATTCAAGGTTCTCATTTGGACTATTGTTCCTTCATACTAAAGAACACGGATGATCAGGCAACATTGACCATGCGGAATCTGTATGGCAGGTGTTCTAGTTTGCTGTCTCCTTTGTCAAAGCTGTTGCAAGATTGTCCCTGAGCGTGGATAATGTTCTATACAAATGAAGTGAACAACAAAAATGTCCCCAGGTACACGCATTTTTTTTCACGTGTAAGAAGGATGTTAGAGAAATTGACTTGATGTAATCCATAGGATGTGTAACCCTTAAGCATGATACATTTTATGTAAAACATCATTCCAAGGAGGAAAAAAAAACTTTTAGAAACATTAGTTTCACATTTTAAGGTTGGTAGAATTAGGGTCTTTTCACGTTCTTATCTTAAAAAGTAAGGGACTACTCTTTTAATTGTGGTAGAATCAAAGCAAGGTTTGAACCTTTTGGTGAGCTTTAAGTATCTATATGATTAAGGTTAAGGAAAGGTACGCGCGTTGGAGTCTGACTATTCTGAGGATTCATGCCTCGTATAAGGCCTCATTCTGGGGGAAGCACTCCCTATCGAATTTTCCTATAGTCAAGCCATTCATATGGTTTTCAGTTTAAATTGTGGAACATGCTCAACCTGTTTTGGACAGTTTTCATGTGTGGACAATCCAATCGGATGGGGTTGCTAAGTGAATTTGGATTAGTCGGGTTCTGATACAGATATCGAACTAACAATCACGTAGCGTTAGAACAACCTCATGGTTAAGAAATAACTTCCATCACTTGTAGATGAAGAATTTTCCAATACATTTACTCTCTATTCATATGTTGACCTGATACGATATTAGTGAAATTCCTTTTTGGTGATTTCACTAATTAAGAATCAAGACTCACGATCTACTAAGGTTTATATTGATTCAAAGTCAATTGTGTCTGGCAAGAAACTTGACTACACAACGAGTAGCACACACATGCGTTAAACATATACTTCTTGGAGAAACTTTGATTAGAGGTGTATTTTACTTGGGTAAATATGAAGCATGGTACATATGTATATAACCAAAGAAAAGAGTTGACATATATGATGACTCTTAAGCAAAATAAGTCTATTATGTAAATTGTAAAGAGATAATAATTTTTATCCTCACATTACATAGAAAATAGATCTCATATTTTAATTTAACTAACCAACATTAACATCCCTTCATGTCTAAGACTAAAAACTTTCCCTCAACAAAAGCAACAAATAATTATTCAGAGAGCAGAGAGTTGATATGAGTGGCTATGTTTTGAGCATCAAATGCAATCCCATAAAGTCCTCTTCTTGATAGCCCCACACAATAGAGTCCATTCTTCCCCTTCCAATGTTGTGGAAATTCTGGCTTTGGTAATCCATCTTCATTCAATAGATAATCATCTCCCTACGAAACAAAACATATATAGTCAAGTTCAAATACTGGCTCTACCTCTGAACTTTACGTGATGTGATGTTTATTCATTGAAACAAAAATCGTCTACAACTTTATTGTTGTATCGAAAAAGTTCATTTTTATTATAAATTTTAAGACTACACAAATATAGTGAGTAAAATTTCGTGATCATATCTGACTGAAATTTTGTAACTGCTTAGTTCATCTGAACTTACTGTCATCTTCTTCGAAAACAAAACTAGAAAACAGAGGAAAAAGACAATTTATTATTATTATTATTAGAATATAAAACAAAATAAGTTACTTACCTGAAGCCACTTGTGAGTAGTTCTCTTAAAACCAGTAGCAAAAACAATACCATCAAATTGATGAATTTTACCATTTTCCACCACAACATCATTTCCTCTTATGCTTCTCATTGCAGGTAACACCTGTTACCACCATCATTTTTTTTTTTAATCATGAACAAGAGTAAGTGACACAGTTCAAATATCGAGAGTCAAACAGTTTACGTTACCTGAATTTCACCAGACTTGATCTTTCGATAAGTCCCCACATCAAAAACAGGATACTTCCCATACTTAACTTTACAAGCAAATGGTCCTTCTTCTGGCCTTTTCACACCATAATACTTGCTTATATCTCCATACATCAACTTGCTTAACATCACCATTATAGTGTCAACCACTCTAAGTGCAACTTTGTACTTCAACAACATCAGCGCCAAATATCCCATTTCTCTTGATATCAAGTGCATCTGTAGACGCATTTTGGGATTCTAAATTTTAGGACAGAAGAATGATACAACGAAAAATATATAAAATAAAATTAATTTATTATGTTACCGGGCTTCGAACAATGATTGAAGTATTAGCACCATTATTAGCAAGATCAAGTGCAATTTCCATGCCTGAATTTCCACAACCAACAACTAGGACATTTTTACCCTTATACTTTTCAGCATTCTTGTATTGAGTAGAATGAATAGCTTCTCCAGTGAAACTTGTCAATCCAGGAACATCAGGGATAAAAGGGTAACTAGCTTCACCAGTAGCTACAACAAGAAACTTACAAAAATACTCTTCCATTTCACCAGAATTACCATTTCTAACCTTAACATTCCATTTTTCAGTAATAACATCAAATTCAGCAAATTCAACATTTCTATTGTAAAAAGGGGTGATGTTAAAATGAGTAACATAGTCATCCAAGTATTGAATGAATTGTTTTTTTGGTACATAAGTTGGTGAAGAAGAAGGAAAAGGAAACAAAGGAAGTTGACAAAATTGTTTAGCCAAATGAAGATGAACTCTATCATAAGAATATTTTTTCCACATAGGAGAGTAACAATCTTCTTTTTCAAGAATGAGATTTGGTATACACAATTTATTTAGACATGCAGATGTAGCAAGACCACCAGGCCCACCACCAACAATGATAACCATAGGTTGTTCTACATGATTATCAAATGTTGCCATGACTAAAATTGAGAAAGAAAATTTGTTGGTGTTGAGAGAAATAACAAAGATGAGGGATATGTGTGTATATATATATACATGGAAATATACTAGAGGACAATTTTAGAGTCATTAGAATTTATTATTATTTTTTGACTATTTATGTGTTAATTTATGGTGACTTGTTAATTTTTCTTTTCCTTTTCTTTTTTAAATTTTGGTTTGATTTGGTAGAAATTCTAATGTTTTTTACTATTTTAGTGTTAATTTATGGTGACTTAATAATTTTTCTTTTCCTTTTCTTTTTTTAAATTTTGGTTTGATTTGGTAGAAATTCTAATGTTTTTTACTATTTTAGTGTTAATTTATGGTGACTTGTTATTTTTTCTTTTCCTTCTTTTTTATTTTGGTTTGATTTGGTAGACTGTGTTAATGTTGACTTATAAATCAAAAATAAAAAGTCAAACTCAAATGATTTTTAAGTAAAAAAATAAAAGTAGGGAGAGACCTACTCTTGGCTTCTGATTTATTTTAAGTCATTTTTTTACTTTGGCAAATACTTTATAACTTATTTTAAGTCATTTTTAATTTATTTTATGGTATTTTTTCTATTTGTCAAACACCTCTAGAAGTTAAAAACTGACTTAAAAGTAAATTCGACCGACTTTTAAGTCAATTCTAACACTTCCAGAAGTTAATTTTTATATTAGCAAAACACTTATTAAAATTTAAGTAACACTTCCTCCATTTACTTGTCCACTATAGTGCTTTAGTATGAAAAATAGTCATATTTATCTTTCTTTATATTTTTTTGATATATTTATCCTTGTCATTTGTTTTTGGACTGTTAAGTCTCGTATCTCTATTTTTATCGTCCTATGTGGCGTCTACTTGATACCTACATGGCATGCCTAAATAAATATTTATATTTATTCCACTTAAATTAAAAATTTTAATTTAGTTATTATATCCAACTCAATATTATACTCACTTGTTTAACCAATTAAACTCAACTCCTAATACTTATTTCATTGTCACTTTCGCACAAGAAAATAGTAATTAGATTTGCTTAGTTGAACAAGATTTCATTAAATCCAACTTCTTAGACTTTATTTGGTGTTGGAAAAAACTCCCGCCTATATTTCAACTTAAAAAAAAAACAAACCCGAGATCAACTCAACCTAACATTATATATATAATTTTAAAATTTTATTTTATACGTAAAATACTTACTTTGATAAAAAATTTAAATATCACTTATACTTTTTCATAGTTTTTATCTTTAAATATATTTATTTCATGTTTGAAAGTTAGAATTCTTAATGATCTAATAAAGATTATAGTCCATACATGTTGGTAATTATAATAAAGTTTAAACAAAAATCATATTAATACTAATGCAAAAAGAAATCAATTCAACACTAAGAATGACAACAATATTAAATATTTGTTTTTTAGTTTTACATAGATTTAGACAATTTAAAATATATGATCTAATTTTACTTTCTTTTATTATTTAGTCATGTAACTAATACTTACTAAACTTATTTTAGCATGATTTAATACTTTAAATATGATCAATTTCATTATGACTTATTAATTTGCAATATTTGTTTTACTATTTTTTTTATTATTATTTTTTGTTAGATAATTTAGTGTCATTAATCATATCAAATTTTTTGTTATATTCTTGAGAGATAACTTAGATAGTTGCATTCTGGTAGAACTAAAGAAATATTTGAAGTACAAGTAAATTATATGTTTGTATGAATACTTTATCGAAAAAACTCGAAAATTCAAAAAACTGCGAAAACCCCGAAGAAACCCGAAAAACCCAAAGTTGAAAAATCCAAATTTTATTAATTTGATTTGATTTATAAATTTAAAAATCCGACACAAATAATTTGATTTGATATTTGAAAAACCCAAACCAATCTGATCGTATACACCCCTACCTATAACCTTGGTTCATTCCACTTAACAATTCTATCATTCATGAGACAAAATAGCTATTGTATTATCATATTATCATCAGAAATCAAAATACATATATTTTTGCTTTTACATAAATTGCAACAATCTTAAACATGTAGATGGTGGTTGTGGCTATGCAACGGTGGTTATCTGGTCGATAGTAATAGCTAATGATAATAATTATACTATAAATGTTAGATGGCCATAGTGGATAAAGAGATGATAATTGTCTGTTATGGTTGTCCAGTAAAGGTTAGTGCATACAATTAATAGTGCTAATATATTTTTACGGAATCTCTATAAGTAATTAATGATTTTTGTATAAGAAAATTCAAATAATACTAAATTTACTAGGAATTAATAAGTTATTGTGAGAGGAAAAAGTATATTAAGATTTAAAAATTTAGAAAAAATTGTATAAGATAGTAAATTATTAATTCAAATTAAATGTTATAACCACAGTTTGATTTAATTGTAACGCGTAACAAAACAATTGTCATTCGCCTCTCTCCCAAACGAATCTCGCTCGTCATCTCCCTCGTCTTTCTCACTTTATACAAACACAAATATATAAATTGTGTTTGTGTTTGTATAAAGCAAGAAGAAATGTATATACAAATACAAATTTATATATTTTCGTCCTATATAATTATACAAATACAATTTTTTCTTTACCGGTTCTCTTTTGCCTTTCTCTATTTCTCGTTTTATACAAACACAAATTATACAAATTGCAATGTATATAATTTGTGTTGTATAAAGTGAGAGAGAGATTTAATATACAAACATTTTATTTCGGTTTAATTGTATACAAATTCAAATTTTATACAGATCTAAAAACACATAAAATTAAATTGGGAGACTACCAGCTATTTATACAAACGAGAAGCAGTCAATGATTTGTGAAAATGAGAAGCTACCAATAATTTATACAAATGAGAGCTGTCAATGATTTATACAAATGCTTCATATCAAACATAAAATTTGTTATGAAGTGCAATTACACGAATTATACCTATAACATACAAATATAATTTTTATATTGTTAAACCTAATTTACTCTATAAACATATAAGATTTAAATAGCCTGTATATGCAATTAATTTCCTAAAAAGAATACTAATACATATACATAGTTTAGGTTTTAATGTACCAAATTAGCCCAAACAAATAAACTATACTTTTAACTCTACCCCTATTTTTAGTTAGTAGTTATAATTAAGTATATAATCCTTGAAATATTTTAATGTTATTTTCAAACTCTAGTATTTATTGACATTCAATATATCGTAAGAATTAATCAAAAGGGAACCATGCATAAAAAGGAATATGTATAATTATGAATATATAATTTCAGCGACACGCGCCTCTCTTTATCCTAATGAATTTATTAGACCACATAAAGCTAAGATTGATAAGCTGATATTTTTCTCCGTCTCAATTTATGTGTTACTGTTTAAAGTATTATCAAATATTAAATTTTAAAAAATAATTTTTATGTTCAATAATAATCGTTCATTGTGTAATTTCAGTCGTTTGCTATACTATTTTGAGATGTATAACAAATATTTGTCTATTTTATAAAATTTGTATATAATTTCACACTTAAAAAACGTCTACTTTTATTCTCGTAAAATTTTGATGGTTCTTTTTAATTTTTACGATAATTGTTTAGTAAATAATATTTTTATTTGTTTTGCAGTTTATTTCAATTTTTAGACTACGGTATAAAAATCTCTTCTGAGCAAATAAATATATTCTTTTTAATAATTTGTATTCTTCTAATTGTGCTGGACTTGATTCGATAGGAATATTTGCATGTTATCCAAACATTAAGAAAATAAAGAGAAATACATTATTGATAATTTGTTATTATCATAAATAAATGGTCCAAAGTATAGAATAAACAGATGAGTTTAAAATCTAAACCAATCGATAAAATAAGTTGATTTCATATAAATAATAATAATAATTAAAAATATATATATACGTGGATTAGGACGAATGATAAGTACTTGTCATCTTTAATCAGATCTTTCATATTTGAGTCCTTCGAAATACAAAGTCCATCTGATTAGAATACACTAAGAAATTACCCGAATAAGGACAAATTCACCTACTTTACCTTGGTAAGTTCATTTTTTTTAATTTTACAATTATCGATAGAAAACAATTTTAATATTAAGATATGAAAAAGATCATTTGTTCTAAATTAATGAGCGGACACTTTGTTTTTCATACTCTATAATAAGAAAAAAGGTCCTACAAAAATAATTGAAGAATAAATAATAATTTCCTTTTTTGTATGTGTGTTTCTGCATTTATAATTTTAAAAAGACATGAGGTGCATGCAATGAAATAAATAAAAAAAAAAACACAGTTGGTTATCAATTTCTCTTTTTTAAAAAAGACCTGGTCTAACTAATATTGAGAGGCAATTGATTAATAATTTGTTTTTGATATATACCGTGTGAAATGAAAAATATTTTTTTATTTGAATTAATTTTTTGAATTTAAATTTCCTTAAATACACAGTCAGTTTTATTAAAAATACAAAATTTATGAACCAAATTATTCCACGTTCTTTATGAAATGCCATGAGATTTATAATATATGCATTATTAAATGTGAATTATGAATTATTTTACGATCAACTAGGGTAGGATTTGGTGGCTGCCAGTGAAATTGTTTAAATCAATGTAAAATTATAGAATAAATATTTAATAATATTATTAATTTTTTAGTATTAGAGTAATTTTTTTTTTATCATTATCATATTGATTATATTTTGATTTGAGTTAAATTAAAATTATTAATGTTTATAGATTATGATTTTAATCGGACCGTTCAATATTATTTCTCAAAGGGAAAAGGGTCAAATATGCCCCTAAACTATTCGAAAAAGTCTAGATATACCCTCCGTTTAAAGTTTGGTTCACTCATGCCCTCGACGTCCAACTTTTGGTCCAAATATGCCCTTATGAGTGTTAGTTGCCATGTTGGACATATTTAACTCATTTTTCATTTTTTTAAATATCACATGGAATTACCATGTCATTTTGGCCTTA